TGGCTGATTTCTTGCTATATGAGCCAAGCCGAGTCGAGGAGATGCAGCAGAGATTGTCTGCCCACAAAGCGTAAATATTTCATACGTGGGCTTTTAAGAAAAGTCTGCTGACCCGTGGCTGATGGAGCTATTGCATTTATTCTGTAGCTCCATAAGAGAAAATGAGTCTGAATATACCATGTACTGGAAGCTCAGTGAAGAAATATTTGTTTATTTCATATCAAGAAAAACTGGTCTTTGTTAAGAGACAGACGCAGTAATATTTTGAAACACTGTGATGTCGTAAGAAGTTCAGATGATCTGAGTGCCTTCTGGGCTTCAGTGTTGGGGGATATAGAAGCAGCTGGCAGGAGGATTACTTCCTGGAGCAGGGCCGGGCAAGGGAGGAGAGGGTAAGCATCTGAGGCAGCAGAAACCAGAACAGCAAGGCTTGACTGTGGAGTTCTGTCTTGATGTTCCATGTAAATGTTTTCTTTTTGGCTGTTTTTGACAGCGAGTGATCAGAGCTGTCTTCTGAAAAGGCTCCCCCTTTGCAGCCTGTGAATTCTCTCTCTAGCAGGCACAGAACTCTGCCTCTGCTCCACTGCTGCCCTCAGAAATCAGAGATGGGGACCATTCACTTGAGGTGGCATTCTGGGAAAGTCTTCTCTGCTGAATCACTGCCTAAAAATACCCCCAGCAAAGCCCCCTTATCAAAATGCAAGAGAAGTTCCCCAGAAAATGGCAGGATGACAACCAGCTGACACTTTGCAGGAGCCGCATCCTCCTCATGTCCTAAAATCTCCTTTGTCCTGGTGCCCCTGCATCGCAGTCCACCCAGTGGGCTTAATCGGAATCCAGGGTCTTGATTTGATTGAAGCTCCTCCCTTACCCATATCTGAGTACGCAAATCCCCTCATCCTGCTATGCAAATGTCCCTTAAACCCTCTAAGCCCCGTCCCTCCTTTCACTGCCCTGTTTCACAAGGGCCATCATCTTTTGCCAGGATTCTGCCCCAGCCCCATCTGACCCCCCACCTCCACTCTCTGACTCACTGTCCCCGAACCTGGCACGGCGCCCTATACTCAAAACATAGCCACAGAACCGAGGTAGAAAATAGAGAACTCAAAATGAGAAAAACAGTAGAGATGATTCGTCAAGAATCGGAAACTTTCCAAGAGAAAGAGCAACAACAAAAAAGACAAACGCTAAAGAAAGCTCAATCAGGAGAAACTAAGCCAACATTAGAAAAGAGAAAAAAAAAAAGAAAAGAAAAGAGGAAACAGAGAAGAAAAGAGAAAAGGGTTATAACCACAGATATAGTATAGATATTTCAAAATTATCATCAAAAAAAAAAAAAAGGCCAATTAGCCATCTTGGAATTTTACAGCCACAGAAAGCTTCCCCGTTCATTTTGCCGGGGGAGGGGGGGGAAGATGACACTGGTTGGCCTGGCTAACTCCTCATGCTAGTGTTTTGTGTCTCAGTCTATGTGATACATTTTGAGGGGAGACCTGCTAAAAGCCCCTATTCTAAGTTCTTATAGTACCATCGCTTTTTCACACTTGTTTGTTTAGCACTTAACACAACAGAAACTATATGGTGATTTCTTTCAATTTCTGGTTTAATGTCTGTTCCCCCACTATAAGCAGGCTGACTCAGATGTCATGGTTCTAGTCGAAATTTCCAGCATGATTTTTCCTGAGTTTGCTTTACCTAATGGAACATCGTTAAAAGATTTTTTTTTTAACCAAGGACAACGAGCAAGTAGGGAGCCAGGTGGCTTCTGAGGTCAATGCCTGACCCATCAATTAGCCAAGGTCCCTCACATGGCCCTGCTGACCGTCCCTTGTAGCACTGACCTGATCATGTGGCGGGTCCGTGTCCTTTTCCACAGAAATATCGGTATCGGCAGTGTATGCGCTTTGTGTAGTGGCAGCATCCTGCCCAGAAGAAACTCAATTTGACTCGAATTTTTAAATCCATATTTATATATTTAATGAGAGCCCGATACACCTGCTCTAGCGTCTACCAAGTAAGGGCATCTTTGTCTTGACTCATTCCAATCAGGCACTTGAGGGGCTGTCCTGCTGGTACTGCACACATGACCAGGATAGAGGATCGAGATGGATAATCCCAGGGGCCACGTGGACCCAAGAGCGGCCCTGGGAGGACCCTGAAGAGCCCCAGGTGACCCTTTCTATTTCTGGATGTGTAAACCCTTCCCTTCGGTTCTGGGGGTGGAGCTTCCTTAACAAAGCGTGGTCCCTTTCCTCCCTCCAGCCCCAAATATTTCACAGGAATCAAGGACTTCAACTCCACCACCCAGGCTAACTTTACAGGTGCATAAGCTCAACCTTCGGGCAGGTGTTCAGCAAACCTGTCAATCACTTCTTTTCCTCCTGGCTGACTGTTCTCATTGCTTTAGCAACCACCCATCTGTATCTTTTGATCAATGCAAAGCTAATTAAAAACATAAGAAGAAAAGTGAGTGTGAAGACGGTAGGCTTGATGGAACAGGTGCCTGATAATGAAATGTGATTTCTGGGGCCGCTGAATGTTCTGTCTGTCTGTCAGTCTGATGCTCGTAACCTGCGTCAGTTCCGGTAACAATTGCCCCTGGTGCTCTCCGGTCCAAATACCTGGGTAAATTAACCTATTGCATGCCAAGTGCAGCAAAGACAGACATACGGTACTCCAAGCTAAGACAGCGGCTGTGAGAATGGAGAGAAACAGACGGGTCTCAGTGAAGCTTGGATGCTTTGCAGGGAGGGACAGCAGGCAACCGTGGTGACTGCAGTGCGAGGTGAGGGAGATGGTGGGTGAGACCGTCCACACAGCATGACACTTAGCGATTCACGATTCTCCCAGGATCAGCCCTACTCCTCGGTCCTGAATAAGCTCTTGTGGGATTTCAATCCTTGGAGACTGGATAGATTTCAGGCCCTAACTAAATCTTGGTTTATGGGCTGCTGATTTGGAAAGAACAACGGCTCTTTCTTGCCACCAAGACAAGCATATGCAGGCCACCGGGGCAAGCATTGCACAACAGGCAGAGAGTGTCCAATGTCGGGTTTTGGGAGGGGGGCGGAGCTAGCACGGCAGAGCAGAACACCTTGTCTGGCTGGCTGCAGGAGGTGGGGCGGGAGGGGGATAGTGGAAGAAATGTCACTGCCCCTTAAAAGCCCCAAACAGGGCTGGGCAACCTCTTCAGAGGGGAACTGGGGGAACGCCAGGCTGCCAAGATGTCAGTATGTACCCCCTGCTCTCAGAACCAAATTCAAAATTGCACAGGACTGTGGTCTCCCAAACTAACCAAAAGTTCTGGTTCTGGCCATTTCTGTGAGGGCTTTTTGTTTTTGTTTTCTGTGGGGGGAGGTAATTAGGTTTGTTTATTTATTTATTTATTTATTCATTCATTCATTCATTTATTCATTCATTCATTCATTCAGTTTTTTTAATGGAGGTACTGGGGATTGAACCCAGGACCTCATGCATACTAAGCATGCACCCTGCCACTGAGCTACACCCTCCCCGCTGATTCTGGCCATTTCTGGAAAGCTGAGGAAGAGCATCGGAGCCCTCAGATACAGACGTGGTGCGGTATCTGCCTCTCCCAGTCTGTTCGGCCAGCTTGGCGATTCCCCATCCCGCACCTGCTCCCAGGCTCAGCCCTGATCTAAGTCCCGTCTTTCTCCCTTACTCCCCCTCCCCCCATATCCGAAACACCTCTTGGCCACCCAGCAAGGCTCTAGTTCTGGTTCACATCACCTCTCACATAAATGATCAGCATACTCCTCTGACTGAGCTCCAGGCTCCCAAACACTGAATTCTGAGCAAAATAAAAGGCCCTTTCTGTTGCCAGCCAGGGCGTTTGGAAGCGTCTGCACGAGTCCCACAGCCCAACTGGTAGAGAGAGGTCCTCTCCGCCAAGCCAGGCCCAGGGGAGGCGAGGCGAGGACAGCATACCTGTCAAAGGAGGGCCGCTCCCCCGCGTCAAAAGCATCTCTCAGCTGCTTCACCAGGTTGTCCTGCCCAGGCAGCCGGAAGATGCCCTCTTCGTTCAGGCCGTGCTCCAGGATGAACTCCGCACACTTCTCCACCAGGATGGGCACCAGGTGGGGGCCAAATTTCTGCTCATAGGCCACTGTCTCATCCAAGCGCTGGCCGAACACCGCTGGGAGGAGGAAAAAGCAGACCGTCACTCTGACCCCCCTTGGAAGAACTCATAGATCAACGTGCTTTGTCCGTTTCTCGATTTTCTTTGTGGCCTGAGACTTCAGCGGTTTTACTGCAGGGATTCTAAACAAAATACAGGGGACAAATCACACATAATATTTCCTGGAGCTATAAATTGGGGGCTGTACACTCGAGGCAGTCTGTCACTCTTTTTCTGTTTATCCACATTTATTGTGTTTAAAATAACAACTCTAGTAACTTATGGTGAAAAAGAATATGAAAACGAATATATGTATGTTCGTGTATGACTGAAGCACTGTGCTGTACACCAGAAGTTTACACAGCATTGTAAACTGACTATACTTCAATAAATATATATACATAAAATTAAATTAAATTAAATTAAATTAAATTAAATTAAATTAAATTAAAGTAGCGGCTCCCTTTTACGGAGTGCTTGTGTGCTAGGAATTATGCTAAGTACTTTGCACACTTTTTCTCATTTAACCTTGACCGCAGCACCTGAGGGCGTGGTGTTGTCATATCCACCTTACTATTAAAGACATCGAGCCTTAGAGGCGTTAATGAACTTGCTAAGGTCAGGGATACGGCACAGTCAGAATTCAAGCCCAGGCCGTAAACTCAGGAGAATGTGCTCTTAGCCACAGTAGCAAGTGGGTCATTCTGAATTCTGCTTGAGTTTTGTAGCATTAAGGCATAATGATCCACTGTACGGATGTCTCATACTGTATGAAACCACCGCAGTACTGTAAATAATTTACATTGTCTTCTACACTCTATTATTATTACCATTGCTCCTGTGAGAACGTGGTCACTCGCTAGCAGAGTTCCTGGAATGTATATCGTGCGATGCACAATGCCTGATTAAGTGCTTAATTAATTCATTAACATTTGGATGGATGAAGACAGGCTTTTCCTTCTTTCACACTATTTCCTGAGGGCCAATTCCCACATGGAAAATTACGAGGTCAAGTGGTTTGAACATTTGGATGACTACGGTATGCAAATTGCTTTCCAAAACTATTTTTCCAGATGACACTGCCTCCAGCGAAGCGTGCGGGGACCAGCTCCCCCCAGCCCTGCCAGCACCTGGCTGGACAATTTCCGCACCCCAGCAGTGTGCCCGCTGGACTGTTGTCTGTTTTACCTACAGCACTCCAGTGAGACTGTTTGGTTAAATATGTCTGTGGTTGAAATGGGAGAACCAGGGCCAGCATTCCTTAAGGTGGCATTCGGCCTGGCCCCCACCTACCTTTCTGGCCTGACTTCCGGCCACGCCCCCAAAGGCATCTTGGCCTGATGTTCTGAAAGCCCCTAGTGCTCTCGGGTTTTCGTGCCCTCAGTCTGTTCATCTGTCCCTTCCCCGTCTAAGGTTCTATGTCTTCCTTGGCTGGACTCACTATCATCACCTCTGCCAAGTCTTCCCTGACTCACCCTGAAGGACTCCATCCCCACTCTGTGCATCCGTGTCCCTTCGGTAATACCCCAATTCCTTTCCTGTTCCACACTTCCCTTTCCCACTGTGCTATTATTATCTATATGTGCCGTGTTCTCTGCAAGACTGCAGGCTCCCCCGCCTCCCAGCTTCTGCTTCTCCCCTCGTCAGCCAAGTGACCTCTCAACCATCTCAATCTGGTTCCATCCCCGTGTCCAGCATGGAGCCTGGCCCAAGGCAGACAGTCAACCAGTTTTGCTGAATTACTTAATGAATTATGCCATCTTTAAGCAAGTGCTTTCCACGCTTAATGACAATTCTGGCACTTCTTTCGTTTAAACACTAGTAGGGCCCCCTTCAGGAAATGAATTCAACTTCACGCTTATTGTCTATCGAGTGCCCTGTATGTGCCAGCAGCCGGCCAGGCGGGATGGCTGTACAGACAGACTGGAAGACTGAAACAGAGCAGGACCCTATGGGATCTTCCCAGGGCAGATCCCCACTCCTCCTCGTCCTCTGCCTGCCTCTTGTCTGTAGAGAAACTTCAGTCAAAGAACAAGTTTAATCTGAGAAATAAGAAAATATAGAAACAAAGGGAAATAGTCAAGCAAAACAAAATAATAATAGTTTGGCCATTAAACAGAGTCAAGGACCTGTAGTTCCTCCTCAAGGGCTATAAATAATATTCTGAACCATATCCTTTGAGCTGGTAAAACCCCCACCAGACAGAAGCAGCTAACTGTGTGGTAACTAGAGTGTAGCTGTGACATAAGCTGCCACAATTTTGAGAACTGGCCTCAAAGAAATGAGAACGGACCAACCCTGGAACTGAAGATCAACTGTACTTGCAAGAATCACGATGCTGCTGATCAGACCATCAGCATGACTAACTTTGAGATGACTGTCAGAGCTGACTGCGCTCCTCTGCATGTAGCCCCCTCTCTCCACCTCCTGTACACCCTGAGACTCTTTAAGAGCTCTTGCCCATTGATTGTCAGGGTAGGGAGCTGGTCTTTGGACAGGAGCCCGCCTCTTCCCCACCTCCAGATGCCAGTCTCCAGAATAAAGCCAGATTTCCTTTCTACCCATTGTATTGGCTTTTGATCGGCAAGCAGTCGGACCTGTGTTTTGGTAACAAGATGTGGCTCTGGCTTTCAACAAGCTTATTATCAAGTTATGAACATGAAAGGACCTCATGCAAGAGAATGAGAAACAATTAGAGCATGTCAGTACTGATGTAGAATTAGGTTTCTATTTGTCTGTGAAAGAGTTCAATAGCTATTCTCCCCAAATTGGAGGGAAATGATTGAAATGATCTAACTAAAAACATAGACAATAGGATATTTGTAAAATGTCCTAAGAGGCAGATGTGTTTCAGGGCAGCTGAAACTTGGGCTCAAGGGGCCTTCCGGATCCCAATAGGGAAAGATATCCCAAACATGATGGAATGGTGTTCTCAGAGACGGCAGAGCCGTCAAACCAAACGTGAGCTCCATCTCTGAGGTCCCCAGGCAGATGATCTGGAATCAAGCTCCTTCTTACACCCCGCTGCACAGTGAGTCCTCCAACTTTTCTCCTCTTCCAAGTCTATCAACCTCGTCCTGTGCTCATCACCTCTTCCTTCCATGGCCCACAGTCAGGCATTTCAACATCATTTGCCCCAGGACACTCATTTCCCAACATTCATTTTTCCTTCCAGCATCTCCACTCTGCTCATTTCCACTACCCTCTCCACGCTGTCTTCAAGTCACTGAGGAACAGTGCAGCCCAATGTCCATGAGATCTTGGGTCAAAAACTTCACCACTCCCTTGAGCTCACCACCCATTCCCTCCTCTCTGTCTCAGCGAGTGACCTCATCTCCTCTTTCCCTTATCTCCCCAAATGGAAGACATCATGAGAGAACCCCGTCATCTCCAGTCCCTGCTCCTCCTGTCCCTTCTCTGTCTGTCTGCCTGTCCTCTCTTGGAGGAAGGAAAGTGCCCTGTGCTTTCCTCTAAGCTGATGCTTTCTTGAACTATGGGTTCCATCCCTTTCCACCTCTTCCAGGACTTCACTCCTCCTTCCCATCTTAAATTGAAGGAGCATGTGAGTCTAAATTTTTACCAAATTATTAAAGAATAATCTCCCACCCCAGCTCTCATGCAATCACATCACTCACCTTTCTTCTCTTCACCTATAGACTCATAGAAAAATGTGTCTACTTGTAAAAAGGGTTCTCCACCCTCACAGGCTCTACTTCTTCTTGATCATTTCCTTAACCTCTCAACCCAGCTTACTCTGGTTTCATCAGCTGCATCTTCCCACCCAACCTGCCCACTAGGATTTCTTGTGCCCTCCTAATGGCTGAATCTGGTCTGAGTTCATTCCACACTCTACCCGTCTTCTCTGAAGACTCTGATGGTGTCGATTCTCATTGTTCTGCAAGACTTTCTCCCTGCATGACTATGAAACCATCCACTCTCATGCTGGTCTCATCTCCCTCCTGGCTCCTCTACAGGCTCCTGTACTTGCCCCTTCCTCCACCTGCTCCTTCAGTGTGTCATTTCCCAGCCGTCCACCTCAGGCTTCTTCTCACTCTAGACGTTGTCCTTGGAAAAGTTCACACAACTCCATGCATTTAGATAGCGCCCATAACATCATGACTTGGAAATCTGCGTGTCTGGTCCAATCTTGATTTCTCTTTCTATCTCTATGTCTATCTCCATCATTTCTTTCTCTCTCTCCTCTATTCCCTTAGGTCCAGCATCCAATGACAGTTCCCCCAGGGTCTTCTCCAGCCTCACTCGCATCCCACCCTACTGCCGCAGCATTCCCAAATCACTGCTTCTCTTGTAGACTTCCTCCCCGTCCCTTCTCTCCTGAATGTACCCCAGTCAGCACTTCTCCAAACTTGCACGTGTCAAGGAGATCGATGGCCTTTACATTTTTAAAATCCAGGGATCAAATTCTCGATCTTGATCTGAACTGCTCCATCAGCCATATGCGACGCAGCCAATCACCCCTCCTTCCTTAGACAATTTCTCCCGTGGCTTTCGCTTCTCCGTTTATCTCACTGGCCTCTCATTCTCAGCCCCCTCAGATGATTCCTCCTTACAACCTGTCGTCCAAAGGCTGGAGTGTCCCAGACTTACCCTTCGTCATCTGCATGTACTTCATAACCTCAAGGCTTTAAATATCACCCACATGATGAAGACTCTGAACTTTCCATCTCCAGCCTAGAAACCAGGCAGAGCTATTCCCACCAACAAGAAATGACCATAGCCTGCTCTGAAGACATAGGACCTACAGGTTCCTTCTTCCATGAGGGACAGGGCGCTCTCTTTCTTTAGTCTGTCTAGATCAGGCTTTGTCATTCTTCATCTCACATCACACACGAGGAATTTGGAACCCAAAACATCCCTGGAACTCCAAAGACCCAGTCCTGAGTTCTACCCTCCTCTGACTTCTGGGTTCTAACTGCTACCCTTTGATCGTGGATGGACATGAAATAGCCTAGATATCAGGGAATAGATGACCGGAGAAGTCCCAGGAAACCAGGGAA